ACATCTATTAAATTTTTTACTTTGCCTTAGGTAACTGCTTTAGTCTTCTTCTCTCCTAGGGCCACAAATATCCGTCTATCAATTTAGGCTGATCTATAGTGACGACATCAGTGGTAGTAAATAAAGAGGCTGGTTCACAAATGCACAGACGGGAAGATACTCTGAAAAACAAGGTGCCAAAATGTACTTTATATTCTGTGTTTGAAACATCCACTTCTATATCCTAGGGCTATAACACTACTGCTGTTACCAATTAGCAACAGTTTGAGCCCTTAGGTTATGATTTGGTATTTTGAGAATTTTGGGTGTTCAAATTCACTGAAAACAGCCATGTAAAGGTAATAGATTACATCTCCAATAGAGCAGATTATTTTCCATTCTAGTATCAAGTGGACAACAGAGCCCTACAAGAATGTAACAGTTGAGTCCTGGTAAATAAGGTAGAGGAGGAAAGCATTTGTACAAAACATTCTTAGGGAGTAGAGCCTGAGTGAGCTCCTGCATTAGGTAATACTGGGCCTACAAAGAACGACATGAAAGCCCCGAACTCTGGGAAAAAGGAAGAGAAAACAAAAATTCAAAGAGAAGGAGACAGCTAAAAACCAAACCAACTCATGGCAGAGTGCTTGCCTAGCATATACAAGGCCTTGGGTTCAATTCCCAGCACTGGGAAACAATTTAAATCAACCATTTCATAACTTTGCAGGCTGGCTGGAATGGTCAACCTCCTCAGTGCACAGAGTGGGAAAAACAGGAAGCAATCCTGAATATCAGCTCCATCAGTAGTCTCTAAAGTTTGTGAAAAGCCTGTTGATCCCCAATAGAATGTTATCATATAGAACTCAGGAGACTTCTAGACCTTTCTGCCCTTTCATTTGCATTTGTGCTGTTCACACTACCTCCAAACAGACTAAACCCTCTAGCCCTGCCTCCCATGGTATAGGAGGGAGGCACACAGAAGAAAAGGGGGCCTTTTTTTTTTAAATAAAAGTACCCTAAATGACCCAAATGCTTATGACATGCATCCTATAATGTCAAAATCCTTCCTCTAACTGATTTAGACTATAGTTCACCAAAATGTTAAGCATGCAATCCTTCAGTCTATAGCAGTTAAAATTCTTACAGGTGAACTAATATAAGATTTGATTGCCACCTAGTGGAAGAAATATAACACAAGCTAACTGTAGGATAACATCTAATGTTGCTTCTATCATCCTACAGCCACACCTTTCCCGAATGTAAGATGATTTTTGGCACTACAATCATGAGTGCTAACTAGCTGGGATATGTGAATTAGAAAAATATAAACACTTTAGTGTCCTCATTTTACAAACATGAGATGAGGCTAACTGAAGCCTGATTTGAAAATGTGAACAGATTATTAAGAAGTATCAAATTATACTGTATACATGGTACATGGATAGCACCAAAGTAGGGTGACCCAAAGGACTGACACTTGGCAATAGCAAAGTGGGATCTTCTACGGGAAGACACAGTGTGTCTGGGTTTTATTTACATGTAAGAGTGGGAGAATCCATATTTCAGCAGAAACAATGTTTCATAGTACACATTTTTTCTCATCAGATAGTTTCTGCTTTTTCAAACAGGAATTACTCCACAAGCAAAAGCACCAAGGACTGCTAAATTTTTACAAGTGGTTGCCTTCCTTCATACTTGCTTACCAGTTACGCGCCAGGATTAAAATAGCGGATGCCTTCTTTTGACAAATTTCATTATAGAAAAGGTATTTCCATTTACTTTACCCTGTTAGATTAAATTGTCAAGGAACTGAACTCCTGCCAACTTATCGAAATAGAATGCACTTTAATGACCTATGTCCTATTGTCATAGTGGTCAATTATTTATCACAGAACTTAGAAGTTTCAAGAGAACTCCAAGCATCCAGTCAGCACTTACTAGTGCTTATATTCACTAATATTGGATTATACAAATGAGACTCAAATATCAATTTCTCTTATTTCTTCTGGTAGCCACTACTAATGGCAATGATAAATTTCTTGTGTGATAAACTTCACACTATAATGGTAACAATATCTTCACAATCAGCTCACAGTAATCTTATCTCCTAGGTTGGAAATGGCTGCAACTCTTAACTAGACTAGGGTTCTTCTGATAGGGAATGACAGCAGTAATGAAATAGGTGCTGGGTATCTACCAACATTATTTACCAAACTACCTTACCACAGCTGTTCAGTTTCTCAGCCATTTATTTCTTCCCCCAGACTTCATTTATACATACTGTCTTGTCTATAATGTAGTGATTTATTTTTACATAAATGGAGGCATACTATAATACTGTTCTGCATTTCTTTTTTTCTTTTAACAAAATAAGTTGAAGAGTTGTTCCATTTTGAAATATCATAAAGCCACCTCCTTTGTATTCAATGAAAAGTATTCCATCGTATGAATATGCCATAATTAAGTTTTTTAATCCTGGAAGAAAAGACATTTTTAGTTGCTTTCAGTCTTAGCAACTTATGCAACCCTGAACATTGACACTGGGAATCAGTGTAAATAGTAGTAAGACTGCTGATATACAGCAACTTCAGAGTTGGCTGCTGGTATTTGGGAGCAGAATCACACTAAATTTGTGGATTAAAGTTTGTTTTCTTGTAGGTGCACATTTGTGTGTGTGTGTATGTGTGTGCATGTGCATATGTGAGCACAAGTATGAAAAGCTAGAGGTCAACATCAAATGTTTACTTCAACTGCTTCCACTTTTTTTTTTTTTTTTGAGATGGTCTCTCACTGAACCTGGAGCTCATCAATTTGGCTAAGCCAGTGACCTCCAGATGTCAATCTGTCTCTGCCTCCCTGGTGCAGTGATTACAGGTATGACAACAGCTCCTAAATTTTACATGGGTGCTGGGGGTCCAAATTCAGGTGCTCCTGTTTGTGTGACAAACATTTTACCAATAGAGCCTCTCCCCTAGATTAAAATTTAAAAAGTATTACCTGGAGTAGAATATCACTTTCTTTATGTCATATTTTACTGATATATATTTTTGTAATATATACAATCAACATTTCTAAATGAGGATGCCTCATAATTTTTAACAGTCTTAATCCCTGTTGGCGAGATGGTAGTGTGTGGTACTATTCCTGATGCCACCCCTGGCCATTTCAGTCAAACCACTAAAGGACCATTTAAGGAAGAAATAGGAATCACATATAAGAAGACCTCCCGTGACACCTTCTGGGTGTGTCTGGATGACCCAGACATGGTCTGGATGACCATGACAGTGCAAGTGTGGAAACCTGAAAGCATCCTCAGTGCTTCCTAAGAAAATCAAAGAATGCTGCATCATCACAGTCACCAACTCTGTATGGCAAAAGGAAAATTCTGCATGTGGGGGTGGAGTAAGATGGGGTAGATATGGAACACAGGACCTGTCTGATGAATCTAAATCAAAAAGTGATCCAGAAGAATCAGGTTTTCTAAGTGTGAGATTTCAACAATACAATAATATCATTTTTTCTTGTTTTTTTTTATTTAAAAATTTATTTTTCATTTTATATACCAACCCCAGTTCCTCCTCCCTCCCCTTCTCCTTCTTCCTCCCCTCCCCATCAACTCCTCAGATGGGGTAAGTCCTTCCTTGGGGAGTCAACAAAGTCTCTGGCATACCAAGTTGCGGCAGGACTAAGATATCCCACCACAGGGAATGGGCTCCAAAAAGCCAGTTCATGCACCCGGGATAGTTCCTGGTGCCACTGCCAGGGTGCCTGCCCCCAATCACCCCACAGATCAAGCCACATAACTTTTACCCATATTCAGAGGGTCTAGTTTGGTCCCATGCAAGTTCCCCAGTAGTCAGTCCAAAATCCATGAGCTAACCAATGCACTTTGTCTATATTATTGAAAATCAATAAGGCCAAGAGTTTTTTCAGTGAATACAAAGCAAAAATTCCAAGTTCAGTTTTTTAATATATTGAGTGTATGTACACTCAAGTGCTATTTGAAGTGTCATATTTGGAGGTCAGAGGACAACTTACACTGGGTAAATTCTCTTCCTCTATCATGTGAGTCCTGGGCATTTAAATCAAGTAGTCAGGCTTAGAAGCAAATGCCTTTTACTGCTAACCCATCTTGCTCCTTGGTTTTGTTTGTTTGTTTTTAAACAGACAAAGTATCACTGGATAGCCCATGTTGGCCTTAATCTCACAATCCTCCTGCCTCTGCCTCTTGAGTGCTAGATGATAGATGTGTCTTATCATTTTTTATCTTATTTTTGTCTGTTTTGTAAGTAACCATTTTGGGTCTGTGTGCCTACAACTATGCACATGTATTGAGGCTAGAGGAAGGCAATGGTCTCCTTATCAATCTGGAACTCATGTTTTTTGATTAGGCTGGCAGCCATTAAGTTCTAGTGATCCTCCTGTCTCTATTTCCTACATCCTTACATTTAAAGGTGTGCATGGGCTCCCATCTAGCTTATGTGGTTGCTGGGATGCAATCTCAGGTCCTCATGTTTGCAGAGCAAGCATCTTACTACAGCATCTTCCCACCCAGTGAATACTTTACTGAACTCACTCACTGTTACAAGTTTTCAGTTATAAACTGAAAGATTATTTATGAGACTGACGTGCTACCTACTGTGCTAACATGGCACCTCTGAAAGATTATTTAATCTCAAAATATTTTAAATTATCTGCAGGTATTTAAAGTCAACGAAGATAACGACTATCCCTTTTCTATCTCTAGCATCTGATTATGCATGAAGTAAGTAATCAACACATAGTTGAGTCAATTACATAAATGCATCTTACTTGAATAAAACAAACCTGTTGAGTTTAGTCCAAAACACAGAACCTTATAAATTAAGAAACAGTGTTTATATCATCATATACACATACATCAGTAAGTCTGTAAGAAAATAGGTATTTCATTATCAATTCTGTTGATCTTTTTGGCTGTAACTTCTTATATCTTAATTGTTAGAAGCTCTAACTATGAAATAAATGCATCAAAGTCTTACCTTTTAGATCTTAGATCCGATGAATCAAACTGGATATTCATGGGTCCAGGATTTACTTCAAGGTCTACTTCAGGGATAAGATGCCTAGAATCACTGTCCACACTTGCCATTTTTCTCAGATTCTAGGCACTGAGGAAGTTAGTCCTAAGAAGCCAGAAAAAGGTAATTCAGTTTAATCTTAAAAATATTTTGCTATTTTTAATTTGCATGCAAAAGAAACCAAAAAGTATGGGAATTTGCTGAAGGTATAATTTTTGAAGATGGCTTGCTGTTACCCAGGTTGATCTTTAACTCTTAAGCAAGCCTGGGATTATAGATATAAAGCCATAATGACTTAAATGAGGTCTATGATTGATATATTTATCAGAAATATTATCAACTTGCATTTTCTTATTTTTCAGCTTACAATTCACTTCCAGGAATATGACAGATTCATTATTTAGACCCTTACACTGGAAAAGAATATTTTGAAAATCATTTGAAAAGCTTAAAAAACAGGGACTGAAGTCAGATAAGTTGGCAGCAAAGAAAAGAAACATTGGAATAGCTGCAGGAAATAGGTGCTTTATCAGAATTTGAGCTCATGTCTTCAAAGCCTTGAGACTTAGGGAAACAGAGACTGAGGTCCACCTAAAGAAAAGCCTATGAGAGTTTTCCATCAGAGTAGAGTACAAGCAGAAAATGGGCTTTACTTTCTTACAAGGAAGCAAAGTTTTCTTAGTACTGTGGCTAGTGGCTATCCATTAGGTAGTATGAAGATAAAACACTTTGACTACACTACAGCAAGTTCATAGATGAGAGCACATCAGCTTTTACAGTAACACTTGCAGCACCTCTCCTGAATTTATAGTTGAACATTCAACTGGCTACTGGGCACCTTTAACTGGATATACTCACAACTCAAATTTGGCAAGTTCCAAACTTGATTTTCTTCCTCAGAAAACCATAAACATATTGCTTTTCTAACTTCAATCAGTGGAATCTTTGTCCTTCTAATTGCTCCAGTCAAAATTCTGGGAATATCCGTGACTGCTTTTCCTCATTCTCAGCATCTAATCCATTAGGATATCTTATTGCTTTTCCTTCAAAGATACCCAGAATCAGACTATCACCATTTCTTACAAAGTTACAATTGTTTTCTTTTATGAGAATGTACTGTTTTTATCATTACCAGTATACATGAAATTTTACTTTAAAATGCTTAAAATGTATTATATTCTCATCCTTGGGTATTGTTGAAAACAGGACTTTGGGGAGGTTAAGAGTAGAGTCTAAGCCGGGCATTGGTGGCGCATGCCTTTAATCCCAGCACTTGGGAGGCAGAGGCAGGCAGATCTCTGTGAGTTCGAGGCCAGCCTGGTCTCCAGAGCAAGTGCCAGGATAGGCTCCAAAGCTACACAGAGAAACCCTGTCTCAGAAAAAAAACAACAACCTCCCCACCCCCAAAAAAGAGTAGAGTCTATACTGTCTTCCTCATCAAATTAGGTAAGAATTTTTATTATATTAGATTTGGAATCTCTCACAGGCATTACAACATAAACCAAAATGTTACTATTCTGTTACACTCTAGAATAGCTTATTTGTGCAAATACATTTGTTTTTCTTACTTTATTTACATTGAAAAATCATGACCTGTACCATTAAAATTACCTAGAATCACAGTCTATATTTCAATAAGATCAGCATATAGAATCTACAACAACTTCTAGTTCAGAAAAAGATTGTAAAGAACTTCAGCTATATCTCTTTTTTTCAACCAGCTTCCCCAAACAATATGTAATGGAAATAGATAAAGAACTACAACAGCTGAGTGGAGCTCCCTGCTACCACCCCTGTCCTACAAGCTATTCTACCATGAAGAGCACATAAAGAGATGTAGAACAGAGCAATATAAAAAAGAATTTGACATCATCCAATTAATTGTATGATTTGAGGGAGGATGTGTGTATTGACATAAAGGTGAGACTGCTAAATGTCTAACAATGCACAAGACAACTTCCTCCCAAGAAATTATCTAGGCAAAATAGCATCATTTCTGATGCTGAGAGAACAAACTAGAGGGACAATAAGAGGTTGTAACAGGAGAGACAGGAAATCTTGTAATGGCAGTGTTCAACTTCTTCAATCAAATTCTAGTTACAGGGATATTTGCTCTAACCCCCCCCCCACCCACTGTGTGTGTGTGTAATGCAATTTTCTGTATGATTATTTCACTATAAAATGCGTAGAACTACATAAAATGAAATCGACTGTGAACTGTAAAAACAATTGTTAGTATTGTCATTCTACACAGAAAGGTAAAAAGCACAAGGAAGCAATCACGGAATGGCAGAACTGAGATAGTCCAAACCTGAGCTGCTACTCTTCCCCACAGTGCTAGGCTGTCTTTCCTGCTCTTTGTCATGTCCCCCTTTGCTTTATCTTTCACCTCCCATTTCATGTTACTGTGGACACTAAGCAATTTGTATCGTTCCCAATTTGTTTAATGGACTCTTTCATCAACTTTTCTCATTCATTCTTTTCCTGCTCCCTCCTCCTCCTCTCTCCCCACCTCCCTCATTCTCTCTAGTGATGAGTACAGGATTTTACAAGTGCTAGGTAAGTTTAATGTATTTCTATGTGACACAGATGCTAGCAACATGTTCTGTTCCCTAAATATGTGCATTTTTTTTTTCTGTTCTTTCCCCTTTCACTTTCCTCTTTGGTTCTGCTTTTCTGCCCAAAATACAAGCCAGTCAAGTCCTCATTAGTACTATCAAAGATGAACAAATGCTAAATAAATACATTCAACAGTATCTTGTAAGAGTAACATTTCAGAGACTGGAAGGGAAAGACAAATGTATCTCAGTGGCAGAGTGCTTGCACAGTATATGAGAGGCCCTGGGTTTGGTCCCTAGCACCACAAAAAGGGAACAAAGATAGGAGCAAAAATAATACCATCCCCAAATAAATATTTCACTTCCACATACTATAAGGATTATAATGGCAGAAATTACTAAGATAGCCAAAATACTAAGTAATGGTAAGCCCTGAACATAGCAATTCAACAAGTGCTTACTGAGAACCTACAATGTAAAGAGGTTTTGAGAAAAATAGAAAATTAAGCCCCATTTCCTACCAACAATAAATTTAAAAATATAATTTATAAAGCTGAGAGAATAACCCCTAAATCTCTTAAGAGCTAGCCCAGTAGCATGCAAACCCAATGCCAATTTTCAGTTCATTATTTCAATTTTAGCTCAACTCTATACCAATCACTGGCCCTAGTTTCCAAATCAGCTTAGGAAGAGATCAGTGAAAGATTTATTCAAGTTATAACCTGGCTATTGTGAACAGTGATTCAACAACCATGAACGTGCAAAAACAAGACAAGCAAGATTTATCCCAGGTTAAAAAGTTTTTTCAATTGACTCTGAAACAGATTCATACAGCACATTGTACATTTTCAATTTCCAAAGCCAAAGAACACTCTTGCAGTGGTTCTCAATCTTCCTAATGCTGCAATCCTTTAATACAGTTCCTCATGTTGTGGTGACCTCCAACCACTTTGTAACAGTAATTTTGCTACTTTTACAGATTGTAATGTAAATCTCTGCTATGCATGAGATCTGATATTAGATCACTAAAGGGGTAGAGACCCAAAGGAGACCACATGCCAACCACTATTACTCTATGGAATTTGCTGTTATTTGGTATAAAGAGCATAAATTCTGAAGTAGAAAAAGAAATAAAAAGGTTGATCTTCATAAAATTATTGAACAACCACAAACAAAATAGTACGAAAGGGAAAGAATTTATTTCTGGAGAGTACAACTGCATGCAAACTAAAAGCTTAGATTCTAAGGCAAGACAGGCAAAAAATTAAGGAAATGTGAGAAATAAAAGAACCCCCTGGTCCCAGGGTCCAGTTAAACTCTCTCACTTGCTAAAAGTCAAATACTGCAACAAAATGAACAACATTTACCATAGGGATTGCCTACATAGAGATAATATTATTTTTATACAGACATTTCACATGAGAATAGCAATGAACTGTACTTAGGGCCAAAGTGTACTTGAATATGGCCTTACTCCTTTCCAAGTGTAAAACAGCACTTTTCTGGGAATTTCAAACAAGAATATAAACATCATTTACAATATGCCCTAATTTCCCTTGTACAACTTCTGTCACCTATGGTTTACCTTATCAGCCTGCAATCTGGTGTACCTCATGGACCACTCTATGATCTCATGTACCAAAAGAGGAGAGAGAAAAAAGCCTGTGAACAATGTAACTTCGGAAGCCACCACACAAACACACACACACACACACACACACACACACACACACACACACACACATACACACTGCTAATAGACTCAAGCTCCACCTTCCAGGGAAGCTCACACCTCACATATACTGTCTTTTCCCTAAGCACTTCTCCTATTAACACCCATGCTTAAGTCTACAGTTAAAATCTCTTCCTGATAGATTTAAATCTTGGTCACACTGGCCAGTCCTGAAATTCTTTTCTGCAGTGAGGTCAAGACTCCCACTTCATCTCAGCAGCGGTCTCTCAGAATGCCTCAGGCTGCTTCTGGTTAGTGGGGATCTCCAGCTCCCACTCTCTTAGTTTCTAAACTGAAGACAAGCCTGAGTTCAGAGAAAATGAGTCTTTTTAACTCTCAGAGATTGTTTTAGCTAGGAACTGAATGCTACTAAGAATGAGGAGAAATTTAGGGAGATTCTTGGATGTCAGTCGGCCTTACTAAAATGAGAGTGCGATTATGGAAAGATGGAAGGAACAGAAAGAAGAAGCTGAAGATGGAAATGAAATTGTCTTTCATCACTTAGCTAGCAAAGCTACAAAGAATGAAATAGTACCCAATGCTATTTCCTTTATGTCACAACTGACTATAACCTACTTATACAGTGAGATTCACATTCCACTGTTTCCTTAATGTCAAAGTGCAAATTTGACTAATTTTAAAAATGGCTCCTTGAGGCAAAGAGTAAAAACATACCATATACAATACCCAGGAAAGAACATTTGTAATTAATTGGAAAGTGCAATGGAATTAAAAGCCTACAAAAGCTGTAAACATATTGTAGCTGGTTACTTTTAGGATTCTGCTATACCCTACAGACTTTTAAAATTCTTTCAATTGAAAAAAGTGCTTTAACAGAAATTTTGAGTCAGGTGTAGATTAGAAGAAAGGACATATGATAGGTAGGATTTTAGTTGGGGGGCAGTGGTAGAGGAGGAAGGGAGGGAGATGGGAACTGGGATCGTCATGTAATTCAATCTTGTTTGTAATTCAAATATATAAAAAATTAAAAATTAAAAAAAGAAAAAGTGCTTTAGAAATTGAAAAGATGATTGCACAGAAAACAGTAGCCTCTTGTCAAAAAAAATGTTTCCAGTTGCCTTAATCAATTAGCTCAAAATTCAAATTCCCCTGAACACTGTTCCATAAACAATTTAATGGTTTTTAAAAACTGAGTGAACCTAAAAGATACTCTGCTATTTGATGAAGTAGGTCGAGAAGGGAATAAAAGTTCTGTAACTGAAGGTTAGAATGCAGAATAGTCTATCAATGACAAAAATACTAAGCACTCATAGCATTTCTTTGCTGCAGTCTTAACAATGATATAATTGGTAGGTGTAAAATGGGCAAGGTGACACAGATGGATATCCAGATCTAGTATCTTAATTTCAAGATTTTTTGGGTGTGTGTGTGGGGGGAGGGGGGGTTGAGATAGGGTTTCTCTGTGTAGCTCTAGTGGTCCTGGAACTCTCTCTGTAGACCAGGCTGGCCTTGAACTCAGAGATTCACCTGCCTCCTGAGTGCCACATCCAGCCAAATTCAAGACTCTTAATCTAAAGCTAAGTCATTAAGAGTTCTCAATTGTTTAAAACTAGTTTTAGTACAGGGGTACTGCCATGTTTACCTCCAAGGCTTATGTGTTGTAAGTAATTACCAATGCTGGAGAGATGAGTTTACAGTGGTAATTTCCAAGGCTGGGTTACAGTAGTAAGAGGCCTTTAGGAGATGACTAAATCACCAATGTGATTAGTACCTTATAAAAGAGATGAAGGGTTTGAGTTGGAGGCCCCACTTTGCCTTTCTGTCTCTCTTACCATGTGAGAACATAGCAAGAAGGAGCCATCCTGGAAGCAGAAATCTGGCCCTTATCAAACACCCAAACTAACTGCACCCTGACCTCAGACTCCCTAGTCTTCAGAACACAGATATAAATTTGCTCTTTATAAATTACTTCATCCCAGGTATTTTATAAGAGTAACATGAAAAGACCAGGATGGGTCCCAAAAGGAAATCTACCACGTACCTTATTTGTGTGATACTGAGGTAAAAACAAATGTGAGTTAAAATGAATGTCAGGTTTAAAATGTGGAGGTAGGGATAAGAAATGAAAGGGCTAGCAGCTGGGTATGAGATAACCAAGCTGACCCGATAAGAGAGGAAGGACAGGGCTCTGGAAAAAACAACAAAGTTGGTCTTGGCAGGCTTGGTCTAGCTCCCACAAAACCCCTACCACCACCCTGAAAATATACCCAAGGCACTGTAGCCCTTTCACCTCTTCTTGCCTCTAAATTGCAACAAACTAAATTGTAAGAATGGCTTTTAATAAAGCCCCACCTACTAAATTCCTGCTCCTACAGGTCTCTAAAGGAGATGGGGCTTTAAGTTAATCTATGACCTGCTTACATGACTTGGTATGCTAAATGTCACAGAGGTACTAGAAAGGAGAGTATGGCTGGCTCCACGCCCAGGCAGCAGGGGCTGGGCTTGCTGTGGTTGGTGGTAGCATCATGGCCAGAGACTGGGATTGCTTACCTTCAGTGTTCTCTGCCTATGCTCTTGCACCCTCCTTACAGAAAAACCTGTAGTATCTATGCTAAGATGCTAGCATCAACTTGCAGAATAGACTAGGCTATGGTAAGATAAATATTACTTTGGACACAAACATCCAAGGAGTTTATGTTCTTTCCCAGAGGCTGATATTAGTTTTATAACATTTACATATGTTATACATTTTCAGATACTTTGTATTCAGTTTTCTAGGCCATAGAGCAACCTTTTTTTTTTTCTGTAAAGGAACAGAAAGAAATTATTTAAGCTTATCCAGCCATTGAGTGTCTACAATTATTTCACCTCTGCCTTTTAGTGTGATAGATAGGATGGAAATGAGTGTTCATGGCTGGACTCTAATAACATTTTATAAAAGAAGAATATGGTCATTAGCAGGTAAAATCCGTTAAGAGTTCATCTACCTCTATAGTATAAAAGCAAGGAAATCTGGTTATTTAAAAAGGCAGCCTGGTAGAAGCTGTTCTTGTATGTGTATCTCTTTTTTCCATAAATGTCCTATAGTGTCTACTAACTCACTTACCTAGATTCCTCATGAATAATTTACCAGTGTGTTAATAGCTGGTAGCCGTAAGTCTACAATTCTGGTGTTACTGGTAGAACATTTTTTATTCTGTTAACTAATGCTTCAAAGGATGTTAAAATCTGGCAGTGCTGGACACAGCAGAGTTTATAAAAGCAAAAAAAGCTCACAAAACAACATTATGGCACCAAAGAACCTCTCCTCCCACACCAGCAACTCTAGTTTCTCTTATATTCTGGATAGAGAAAGACTACTAGCAAAGTACTGAAGTTTAAGTGTACTGTAAAAATTCAGGCCTGCTAGAGAATTTTAACCTCTTTTTCCCACTTTTATGCCTATATAGACCCTTTATAAAAAGAACCAAAAAAAAAAAAAACCACTGTACTGTTTTTATTTGTAATTCACGTTAGCAGTACTGTCTTCCTGAGTCTATCCCTGCTAACTACTTAGAGTCTTATAAAACTACAATAGAATATTTTAAAGTGTACACTAGGTATATACTACTTAAGATTTTTGAGAGGAAATCTAAAGCTGGTTGTTCTCAAAGCTCTGGCTGGCAAAATTGGTAATGCAAGGTAAATTTATTTCTTTAGAGATATGTGACATCTTTGCTAATACGGAGGTGGCTGACTTTTCTCGTCTGTGCTGTACATGTGTATGTACATATTCATGTGTGTGAATACATGCATGTGGAGGCCAGAAGCTGAAGTCAGGTATCTTCTCTCTGACTTACTTTTTGAGATAGGATCTCTCATTGGACTGGGAGCTCACTAATTCTACTGGACTAGTTGGCCAGCAAGCCCCCGGGATACTGCTGTTTATCTCTCCAGTGTTGGGGGTCACTATGTGCTGCAGAGCACCTGGTTTTGATTTTTACATAGGTGCTGGGGATAGAACTCCTGTCTTCACCCACAGCTAAACACTGAACTGAACTGGAATCCAGTTGCAGAGAAGGAAGAGTGATGAGCAAAAGGGTCCAGACCAAGCTGGTGAAACCTAAAGAAACAGCTGACCTGAACAAGGGGGAGCTCTTGGTCCCCAGAATGATAGCTGGGAAACCAGCATGGGACTGATCCAGACCCCATGAAGGTTGGTGTCAGTGAGGAGACCTTGGAAATCTATGGGGCCCCTTGTAGTAGATCAGTATTTATCCCTAGCGTAGGAATGGACTTTGGAGCCCATCCCACATAGAGGGATACTCCCTGAGCCTAGGCGCTATCCCAAAGGATATGATAGACTCTGAAGACACCCTATGGAAGGCCTCACCCTCCCTGGGGAGCAGAAAGGGTATGGAATAGGTAAGGTGTTAGTTGGGGAGGGGGACAGGGGAGGAGGGGAGGGAGAGGGAACTGGGATTGACATGTAAAACAATCTTGTTTCTAATTCAAATAAAAAAACGGAGGAAAAAAAAAGAACTTCTGTCTTCATGTTTGCAAGGTCAGCAGCACTGTAGGCACCAGTCACCTCTCCACCACTTTGAGAAAGTCTCACTATTTACATAACTGGAGACCACCCTTCACCTGCCTCACCTTCCTGAGTCCTGGGATTACAACTGTGCCCTATATCTACCTGGAAGTAGTTGTTTACAAGGCATATAAATTTCTCTTTAGTTTACAAGTGTCACAACAAACCCAAAATAAATTAAGGAACAAATAAAACCTTTTTTGCCTGTTACTTTGCATGTCAGTTCTTTGTCATATCTGAAGGTATCAAAAAGGAAAAGGACACTCAAATCCACTGATCTCAACAACAGATATGGCATTACCAAAGGATCACCACAATTAGGTTTTAGACAAGCTGGCTAATAACTAACTGATGGATGATAAGTGGGTGTCTCCAGCAGTAGGTCGGTAGGTCTTTTTCCTCATTTGTAAGGTAAGGAGAACACATCTGACTAGCTGCCTCCCAAGTCCAGTATTGCAAGACAGCCAACACACCATGCCATCCACTATCAGGGCACTCACTCGCGGGCTGGAGAAGTGGCTAGGTGGAACAGTGATTTCATTCATCTAACAATTCCTGGGTTGGATCTCCATACCCTTACCACCAGTGTTGTAGGAACAGTAGTGGCTGTAGTCCGAGACACGAGGAGGCTTCGGCTCTCAATTCCTCTAGCTCTTTCTCACAGGACACTCTGTTGCGATTATCCCAACAGTCCTCTCATCCCGGCATTGGGCACGGATCTGTGGTCACCTTCCTGCCCTTTTCCGGAGGCTCCAGCAGACCCAGACTTCCTCAGCCCCCGCGGACTCCCCGCACTAGACCCACTCGAGGGACACGCGCCCCTCTGGAGCAGTCTCCCTGACCCTAGGCTTGGCTCTCCTCGGATCCCAAAGACCCCTAGGCGGTGACAGCCGGTTGACCACAAGCTCAACCCTTCCCGCCACGCCTGGACTCCCTCTCAGACCGTCCCAGATTGAGTTTGCCAGGAGCGACAAGGTGCTGTACCTCAGCAGGCCAATCCCTCCACCAAGGAAAACCCGATCAGGAGGCGAAGACCCCTCCTCAGACTTGGCGGGTGGCTGCAGTCGGGAGACTCGTTCCCTAAACAGGAAGAGGCAACGGCTTAAGCCGCGGGGGCTGGCGGGGGATGGAGTCCTAGGCGCGCTCAGCCCGCCGCCTCTGTCCAAGCTCTGCCATCTGGAACTACAACTCCCAGAGGGCTATGCAGCAACCAGCGATCCTCCCCCAGGATCCCGCCCTCTAGCTTCGGAGGCGGGGTCGCTGGGCAGGTGCAAGACTCTCAGTTAGGCTGTTTACTCTTCTCCGCCCGCCCAAAGAACCTAGGAAGAGCGTACAGAAGCGATCTCCACAGGCCACGTGAGAAAAAGATGATGTGGCTGACTTTCTTCTCGGGTTTTCCTGGCTCATGTTATGGTCACGCGCTTCGGTTCTGTGGATACTGAAGGAAGATGGGGCGAGGAGGGTGTTGTTAGCTTGCATTGATTTCTCCCTGTTGGGGTTTTTGTTTTGTTTTGTTTTGTTTTGTTTTGCTTTTTTAATGCTTTGACTAATTAGACTCTAGACTAAAAGAAGCTTTCTGAGAATATGGGCTCCCTTCTTCCCAGCAGTTTTCCTCAATTCGACGCAAACACACAGTCTGCACAAAGTATTTTGGTAAGGAAATCAGCTCATGGTGAGTCCCTAAAACCTCTGTATGGCATGCCCCAAGCCAGGGCTCTGTAAAGAATGCTAGCATTAGAAAGCAGTGAGCTATAATGTGATCAAGACCCCAAGACCTGCCGGGCGGTGGTGGCACACACCTTCAGTTCCAGCACTTGGGAGGCAGAGGCTACAGAGTGAGTTACAGGAGGCTCCAAAACTACACAGAGAAACCCTGTCTCGAAATACAAAAACAACAACAACAAAAATGACCCCAAGATCTAAATTTATCAAATAGTAATGAATTCCAAGAATTTTACGTTTATCTCTTTTTTAAGTCTGTACACTCTTTTTTTGCAACTGTACATTCTACCTATTTTACCAAGAAACAGTCTTATAAAAGTTAAGTGACAAGGCAAGGCCAAACTTTGAAGTAGCAAAATACCTGGAATTCAAAACAATGTCTTCCAAATTATTCTCTCAAAAGCCTTTAAATATCCAATGTGATACTGAGGGCTTGACAATTGCAAGTAGACAACTTAGTGATCATTGCCTTTAATCGAGATACAAGTTAATTACATTGATAGGTTTCTTGTTCCAAAAGGCTTACCGGTGCTCTTTGGCTGTACTTTCAAAAGAGCAATGCATTGTTGTGTAACCCTCCCTGATTGGAAAAATTTCTTCTTTTTCTGAATTCCAGTCTGAGAAAACAATTTTAAGCAAGGTTAAAAAGCAAATAAATACTTTAGAACTGCAAGAAAAATATTTAAACAACAACAACAAAATTGCTGAAATTGGTAAGAAAGCTCTGGTCATACCAGGCAGTAGTGACATATGCCTTTAAACCCAGCACTCTGGAGGCAGACATAGGGAGATCTCTGAGTTTGAGGCCTGCCTGGTCTACAGAGTGAGTTCCAGGACAGCCAGGGCTGTTACACAGATAAACCCTATCTTGAAAAAAAAAAATCACACATGTAAAAAAAGATTGGTCAGGTGGTGGTGATCTTGAAGATGGCAGTCTATATTGTTGGTACAGGTCACTAGCACCAAAGGAACCAATAGAGATCTTACTCTCAAGAAATTGTAACTGAGTGTTCTGACCTGCCCACTGGTTTCTTGAAGGTTCAACCCAAAGTTTTCCCTTGCTTTAAAGGGCCTCATCTTGGCTTCCAGAGCAGGGTCTGTCCAAAGTATTTGAACACATAGTCATAGGTATAGGGGCAAAATCTAAGTCCAAAAAAGAAATAAACAGACTAGAATTGTGCCAGGTTTTCCACTGAGAAATTCTTAAATTAATACATTCATGTACTATAGAATAAGATTTAAAAAATTACTGAGGATAAAGATAGGCTAGCAATTGAGAACAAAATTTTGGGGGGGGGGTTCAAGACAGGTTTTCTCTGTGTAACAGCCCTGGCTGCCCTGGAACTCTCTTTGTAGACCTGGCTGGCCTTGAACTCACAGAACCGTCTGCTTCTGCCTCCCGAGTTCTGGGATTAAAGGTGTGAGCCACCGCTACCTACTGAGAACAAATTCTAAGACACACTGTCTTAGTTTGGATTTCCATTGCTGTGATGAAACACAATGACCAAAAATCAAGTTGGGAATGATAGGATTTATTTGACTTTCACTTCTGTATCACTGTTAATCATCTAAGGAAGTCAGGACAGGAACTCAAATGGGGCAGGATCCCAGAGGTAGGAGCTGATGCAAAGGTCATGGAGCAGTGCTGCTTACTGGCTTTCTCCCTGTGGTTTGCTCAACCTGCTTTCTTATAGAACCCAGGACCACCAGCTCAGGGCTGACCCTACCCACAGTGGGCTGTACCTACCACCATCAATCACTAATAAAGAAAAAGTCCTACACACCACACACACCAGCACATACACTAACATTTAATGACTAGGTAGAGAAAGAGGCATCTAAAGAAAAGTTTGAAAACAAGAAGAGTCAGGAAAAGCCAGGGAGGGGAGTACATTTTTGCACTATTTGGTTTTTATTTTTATTTATTTGTCTATTTTTAGGTAAGGTCTGTAGAGGAAAAACTGGAAGAGCCATTACACCTGATATTTTACTATGGAGTGATGGCCACTTAGGCCTTGAAGTAATGTCTGGTAAATAGGAAGTGATTGTTACTTAAGATTTATGAGGTTGCTCTTTCTTGGGAATTTCAGAACCTTAGCATGACCTCAGTAATATGATATTCCTGGTAAACCTGGAATTCTTTTTTTTTTAAGATTTTATTTATTTTATTTATCATGTATAGTGTTCTGCCTGCATGTATGTTCTGCCTGCACACCAGAAGAGGGCATCAAATCTTATTAAAGATGGTTGTGAGCCGCCATGTGGTTGCTGGGAATTGAACTCAGGACCTCTGGAAGAGCAGTCAGTGATCTTAGCCTCTGAGCCATCTTTCCAGACCCTGGAATTCTTATAATGACTGTGCTGACATAGGTAATGGTGCCTTTGGACAACCCCTAGATCAGAGAAGAGATTTGGGTGTGCAAGAATTGCCTTGCTAAAAGGCCTTTTGTGTAATAATCAATAAAATTGCTTCTGCAAAGCTTCTAGGCAGTCAGTCCATTAGAGACTGATTCACCCTGCTGCTTTTGCTGCTTTTCTAAGTTTATTACATCCTTCGGTGTCTCTCTTCCTCCAATCACACTTTATAATTTAGAACACTGACAGAGTATCCTACATTGTATCCTACATTGACCTAGAACTTGCTCTGTGACCCAGGATGGCATGGTTCTTTTGTTTCTGCCTCCTAAATGCTAGTAGTACAGCATGAATCATCACACATAGTTTTTTCATCTGTTTTAGCTATATAAAGAAGCAAGAAGTATGGTGAACCTCTATGTTTCTATTACTTATTAAAAAACAATAAACACAGAACCAAGTCTTATCTCATCTATAACCATATCTTTGCATTTCTAAAATATAAAGACTGCTTTAAAAAGTCACAACCTTCACATAATTGTATTTAAAATACTAATATTTGCTTAGTGTTACTTAGTATCTAATCAGTTAATACATTTCTTGAAACTATGGAGATAGCTCAGTTGGTAAAGTACTTGCCACAAAATCACAGAGACTTGAATTTAATTCCCCCAAACCACATTTTTTTTGTTTGTTTTTTTGAGACAGGGTTTCATCTGTGGCTTTGGAGGCTGTCCTGGAACTAGCTCTTGTAGACCAGTCTGATCTCGAACTCACAGAGATCCACCAGCCTCTGCCTCCCGAGTGCTGGGATTAAAGGCATGCGCCACCACCGCCCGGCTCCAAACCACATTTTAAAAAGTCCAGGTTCTCAATGGCATGCATTTGTAATCCCAATCCTGGAGATACATAGTCAGGTGGATCTCTGGGTTCACTGGCTGACCACGCTAGCCATCTTGTCAATCTCCAGATTAATAAGAAACTCAGAAAACAAGGTGGGCAGCTCCCAAGGAAGGACACATGAATGAGGTTGTTAAAAGTTTGCATACATGTAACCATAGACGCATGCTTCCACACATAAAAGTGTGCACATATGCATGTGCATGCACACACAAAATAAATGTGAAATTTTTTTGAGATAGGTTCTCACTATGTAACCCTGACTGGCCTGGAATATGCGCTGTAGACCAGATTAGCCCCAAACTCATAGAGATAGATTTGCCTGCCTCTGTCTCCTGAATGCTAGGTTAAAGACATGAGCTACCATGCCTGGCCCAATTTCTTGAATTGTATTACAAGTTCTATAGTTGGTTGGAGTCTGGATCTATACATTTTATTTGGTTTGCCTCTTATCTCCTGAGATTTTTTTTTCCAGTTAACATTTCCTGCATTTTGTATTTTGTTGACTCTGCGTCTGTGGTGAAGCATAACATCCTCTGTTTCTTTTATTTGCCACAGATTGGGAGTTAAATCTAAGAGTTTGATCATATTTAAAGTTGTATTTTGAGATCATACCTTTACATGTGTTTTGTACTGTGATACATCAGGCAATACATGGTTCCTGGAGGTCTTTGTTTTATGACTGTCCAGTGAGTTTAAATGCTCTTTAAGGAGGCAGAACAAGATGGCAGCTAGGTAAGATCATTTACCATTTACCTCCTTACAGATGGCACTAGGGTATCATGCATCCCACCATAGCTGTGGGTAAGGCCCAGCACATTTGTAGATAATAGCATACCATAATGTCATAAGGGTGGACACCTTTGCTGGATTTTCATGCACCGTACTAACTTCGAAAGAGCTTACTAAAGAACTAAGGTGAAAGACCACCCGTAGTGTTCTGATTTTAGTATAAAAGGAAAAGACACATTGAAAAAAATGCTGAGGCCTGTTTTTGCCCCCCCCCAAGCTTCAGGGAGAGTGATACCTTCACTTTGGGGATGGAGAAGGAATTAAATCCTCACCTCAGACTTGAAACAGTATGAACAGCCCAGTGATCTAAGAGCTGGTGCAATCCTGTGCATCCTGTGGCCAAGGCCTGTGACCTGAAGATAGTCAGATGGCTAAGACTGCAGTTAGGACTCTTCCCCCACAACCTCAGCTAGTAGAATGGAAAGCAGGGCTTCACCTACTGGATAGCACAAAAGCAAGAACTCTTCCTTGGAGCTCAGTGCCAGCCTTAATAGTCCTTAAGGCAGAGGTTCTCAATCTGTGGGTTTTGACCTCCTTGGAAGTCAAATGACCCTTTGACAGGGGTCACCTAAGACCATTGGGAAACATATTTCCATTACAATCCACAACAGTAGCAAAATTAGTTATGAAGTAGCAATGAAAATAACTTCATGGTTGGGAGGGGGAGTCACTACAAAATGAAGAACTGTATTAGAGGGTCACAGCATTAGCAAGGTTGAGAACTACTGCCCTAAGGGACTGTTGTCACTGCCCATTCCAAGTCTCCAGTAGCACAACTATCCTGGGCCAGTATTCACTGATGGAGCTCCAGACCTTGACACCTGACACAGTTTTACACTTATTATGATGGACTTAATTACTGTCAGTTCTGGCATGGACCTGGATATACCCCTGAGTCTGTGTAGGTAAATTGAGCCTTTGAAAGCCAGATAGGACACAGGTTAATGCCATCTTGGATGGCCAAAGGACTGATTTCATCAGCACTATTCAAACCATGGGCGGCACCACATGGACTCAGCCTCTACTCATCAGGTGGGATGGGGTAAAAACACAGAATTTTGCCTTGGGACTTAGTGTTGGGATTCTGCACCTCCACACTGGGCAGACAGAATCTAACAGTCCCCATCTTGAGTCCTGCATGAAGACAGGGTTTCTGAAGAGTTACAGTGCCAGGGGAAGACTTGCTGTCCTAGTCTAGCAAACTTCTGTTCCAGTCAGGGCTGCGTTCCCAGCAGCCCACTGCAGTACAGGACTTGGTCTCACCCCAGTGCTCTGTTGATCCTGGTGTAGTGGGATCAGCACTGTGACATTTATAGCCACAGTTCTGGAGTAGGAACCCAGGGCTGGTCCCTCTGTGATTCTCTTCACAGAATTCTACAGTTTATGACCACAGGCTGATGGCTTTGGAAGGCACATGTAGGCCTATGCAAGACCCATGTACAGGTTTGTGTGGGTAAGCTATCTTTTATAAGCGCTCCCTAATTGAGTCTGAAACAAACTCATCAATTGAGGTTAGGATAACCCCAAACTACTTGGATTGCTTTTAGGACTGCAACAGGCAATCTGAACTTTGGCGCCATCTAGAGTTAGAACTATAGGCTGAAAAAATAGGCATGCTGGCTTTAATTTCTGAAAACAAACAAAACCCAAACAAGCCAAATTATGAAGATTGGGATAAATAACTAATCTGTTTGTCCTCAGGTGACACCATACATCAGTCAACATCAAGGATGTTCAAGGAACCATGGCCTTGTCTAACAGTAAAAGTAAAATGTCGGAAACTGTCCCAATAATAATCGGTATAGGTGCATGCTCATACAGGTAATGTGTTAGTTACTTCTCTGCTGCTGTGATAAAATACCGTGACCCAAAACTGACTGATGGAAGGAGGAGTTTATTTTGACTTGCAGTTTCAGAGTGATGAGAGTCCATCATGGCAAGGAAGCATGGTGGCAAGCGCAGGTGTGATGGCTGGAGCAGACAGCTGAGAGTTCACATCCTCAGTGGAAAGCATGAAACACAGAGTGTGAACTGTGAATGGGGTGAGGCTGTGTATTCTCAAGGTCCACCCCCACTAACGCACCCCTCCCTAAGCAGCACAACCAGCTAAGCCTCAAGTATTCAAATACTATGGAGAGCATTTCTGATCTGAATTGCCACAGATAATTAAAAGCAAACAAAGCAACAGACCAAGTTGAAGGAAACTTACTGAGTTTCAATGGAAAATAGAGAAATAATTCAGTTCTTCAATAGATAAAATTTGTGGAGGCAATTTTTAAAACATTGACATCTCTGAGCATGAATTTACACTAAACAAAATGAAATGCATTAAGAAAGTATTGATAATAGAGTAAGTCAAACAGAAGAGAATGAATGAGCTCCAAGACAGGCTATATAGAGAAGAGAAAAAAATGAAGAGGCTGAAATACACTTATGATAACTTTGGGACAACATTAAAGGGGCAGATAGGTTACTGGGGATCTGAAAGGGACTTGAGTGGGCCAAAGGAGTTAATTGAAGCAACTACACCAAAGGTTCTTCAGTGGACTATATATCCAGTTTTCATGACATTATAGAGGCCCATCTCCATGAATCTGGACTGGCCTTGTGATTTTCTCATACCAATCAATTGAATGTTGCAAATATGATTAACAACTTCTTCTTCTTCTTCTTCTTCTTCTTCTTCTTCTTCTTCTTCTTCTTCTTCTTCTTTTGCACTCCCACCAACAATGGAGGAGTGTTCCCCTTTCTCCACGTCCTCTCCAGCATAAATTGTCTTTGGTGTTTTTGATTTTAGCTATTCTGAAAGGAGTAAGATAGTATCTCAGAGTTGTTTTGATTTGCATTTCCCTGATGGCTAAGGATGTTGAGCACTTTCTTAAGTGTCTTTCAGCCAATGATTAACTTCTTATGCTGGATCTGAAGAACTATTGCCCTGGTCTCTTGAAGTGATGTCCATGACATGTGTGTCTAGTTGAAATGTGGCATTGGAGGTGGGCAACAACCTTGTAGAGTCTGACTGAGATTGCCTAACAACCTTCATAGCTCAAGGCAGTCACTTGTAGAGAAATATGTTCTGGCCATGCCAGCCATCAGATGCTAGAGTGAAAAAGAGTCACCTTGGATGTTTAAACAAATTGACATTGGGATATAGCTCAATGGTACCTTGCCTGGCATGCTCAATTATCTAGGTTCAAACTCTGGTAATGCCAAAAAGAAAGAAGTTGATATTAAACTTTAAAATGACCTAAGTTACAATCACCATTTGAACATAATCATATGAGATGGTATGCTGAGCCCTCTCAATCCACACAACCATGCTTGGGGTTAGGGTTAGGTTTAGGGTTTAGGGTTAGTGTTAGAGATAGGGTTAGGGTTAGGGTTTATGGTTTAGGGTTAGAGTTAGGGTTAGGGTTAGGGTTAGGGTGAGAATGTCTTTGTAAGCCAACACATTTCACGATCGTTTGTTAAATAGTAAAAGGTAACAAGAAGAGTGCTGTGAACTCTGCTCATGTAGTTAAGACAGTGTTTGCTAGGATTCCTCATTGCATAGCTCCTATTTTCTCCTTATATTTGGGTAAAAAATGTGGCACACACCTTAGAGACTTACTGTTCTTCCCCCAATTTTCCCCTAATTGAGGAATTGAGAATTCTCAGCCAAATGCTGGTGGTGTCTCCTCTGTTCAAAAGCTTCAATCTTTTAGTCTTTATCTTATTTTAAAACATTTATTCTGTGGGGCGTGTGTGTGAAGATGGGGCTAGGTGTGTGTGTGTGTGTGTGTGTGTGTGTGTGTTTTCAGGCCATGACACATGTATGGAGGTCACAGGGCAACTTGTGCAAGTCAGTTCTCTCCTTCCTGTATGTGGATCTCAGGGATCCAATATGAGTCTGCAGCTTGTCAGATACATCTCACTTGCCTTTGCTTTATTAATATTTAGTTTTGACATTTGAGGCTGGATGTTATGTTGCACAGGTTGGCCTTGAACTAGCCATGCAACTGTGCTCCTGATTCTCCGGCCTGTACCTCCCAAGTAAGGGTTACAGGAATGTGCCACTGAAACTAGCAGTGACAATCCTTCAGTTTTAGAGGGCAGACAAAAAACTTCATTTCTGACCCAGGCTCACAGACAGGATCTGTTTGTTAACACATTACTGCTCTTAAGGTGAAATACTTTTTTAAAAAAAGGGGGGAGGGATTGCAGCTACAGGTGATATTATATTCACTAATCCTCTTTCAATTGCTGCTTGGGACACAGTGAAAGCCACTTTCTTTGTTCTTTGAGGCAGGTAATATCCAGTGGGAATGAAAAGTTTGATACCCTGGTGTTCTGTGTTTCCTACAACTTGTTCACTAGACTCCACAGTTCACTGACCTCCAGTTTGTGAGAAAGGGCTAGAAATGGCTGATGGTGTGAGGAAGGTTGTCCAAGAGACCCTGGCCCAGAATTTGGCTTTTCTTTTTCATTCAACTTTAACTTTCATTACACACTTGTAACAGCACAAAGGCTACTAACATGGAGAAGGGCCTGGGCCATTACAAATAGGACCCCTAAGGAACACTACTCAAAAAAACCTGCTTCTGAGTTAGAGTATCACTGTATTAGTTCATTAGGGGGAACAGATAGTAGTCTCTGATAAATCTCATCCATATCATCGAATACTTGGTGAGTTAAATCATGATTCAGGAGGTTGCTAAGCAAGCCCAGGATGGGAACAGGTGTTGATGAAATGTCTTTACAGTGGAAACATCTGCTAGTGAGGAGCCCCCAGATCCAGAGACTTCATCCGTACCAGTGTTTCCCACACTTTACCTTAATATCATCTTCTTGTGGCTTTACTGTTTCCCTATTACTATATATCCCAGTTTTTCCTCAGCTGGGTAAAATTAAAAAAAAAAGATTAATTTAGCCTTGTTCTAAGCATTTACATCTCTAAAAAATACCCTTAGTGTGCTAGATATAGTTTTAAATACATAACAAATAATAAATTTAAGCACAAAAATGACTACCAAAATGAAAAGTGTCCACGAATTGTTTAATGATTGTTAGTGGTGTATACCACAGTCTGTTAAACATACCTTACAAAAATACATATTCTCCCTCACTCCTCCACACCATCCTTTTCCAGACAAGGGTCACTCTGTAGCTTAGGATGGACTAGAATTTACTATGTAGCACAGATGACCCACAGGCCTCTCAGGACTCCCTGCCTTACTCTCCAATGCAGTGGGATTCTAACCACGAACTACTACGCATGCCTAGAAATTTTATCTTTTAAAGCCCTGCTTATTGTACAGACAGCCTGTCCATTGAACTCTTTATCTGATGTTTTGCTAGCAAGATGGCTTCTGGCAGATGCTGTACCTCTTGCACGTTCATTTTGTGATCCTACATAGTTCTAATATTTGATATTTAACTTATGTCTATGTGGAGAGCTTGAAATTCTTACATATTTACAGCACTTAAGGATGCATATCTCTTCTCCATTTGAGATGGCCCACTTTTGGCCTACTGGTGAATTAAGTTTTTGCTAGGCTGCTAAGCCACACATAGTACACATCAGCAACAAAAATCATTACTAAGATAACATGGAGATAATACTGAGAACATAGAAAGACCGAAATGTGGGGGTTCTGTCATTCATAATAACTTGGAGAACTTAGTGCCTCTTTCTAAAGCATGGAGGTCTTACCTAAAAGCTTTGCTTTAAAATATTTACACTTCAAACTGAAATAGAAGGTTAAATAAGAGTCAAGGAAGCCAATCTTCTACTTTATTATATGAGATTTGGAGATTTTGGAGAAGTATGTATGGTCGAGGGTTTTCCTCTACTAAGCTTTCTAATGAATCTTTTGAGGAAGGAGACTTAAAATTTTAAGTTCTACAAACCTCTTTTCACTCTCTTTCTTTCCACTAGGCTGTCCCTTGAAACAGGCTAGTTCTGCTCATAGTACCTGGCACAATCCCTGGCATCAGTTCATACTAGCTTAAATCTTAACAAATGAACACTTGTCTTTCCCCTGTCTTGCAGTGTATCTCTACCATCCTGTCAGAGGGAACCAGAAAATAGAATACACTGGCTTCGGGGAGAGTGGAGTGGGGGCTGGGCATACAAGGGGCAAATGTTTGGAGAGTAATGCTTTTGCTCTATATCTGTTGGTGCTCAATTGTGAGTTATATTTTCATCTTTAGCTCAAAACTGCATTTCAGCTCTCATCAAAATCACTTTTTAAAAACTAGGGCTTCCATGTTTTTTCCACAAAAAAATTTTTTTTTTGTTTCTTTGAGACAGGGTTTCTCTGTGTAGCTTTGAAGACCAGGCTAGCCTTGAACTCAAAGAGATCTACCTGTCTTTGCCTCCTGAATGCTGGGATTAAAGGCATGCACCACCACTGCCCAGCTAAAATGCCATTTCTTTGCAATACCTGAAAGCAACAAGAACCGGTTCACTCCAAAAGTGAATAACAAAGAATACTTGTTTAAAAATATGTTCATTTTAGGAAGTTTGCCCACATTTTAAATGACAGTTATATTAAAGTATATTGCTTTGCCTTTTAAATGTGACTTTTAAAAACCAATTCACCCTAATAGTTTGGCAGGCTCTAGTGCCCACTAGATAAAACATGCTGACATGTTTCAGTGCTGAAACAGATCCTAGAAAAGTTTAAAGCAAGCTTAAGCTGGAGTGCTATCATCTTTAAGTTTCTGACAGATATCTAGAAATTTCTTCAAAGATTCAGAGAAGGGAAAATGATGGAAATAAAATTTGAAATAAATGAGAACTGAGCTTTACATACATTTCTTTATTATGTTTTTTGGGGGCATTGGGGAAAACATTGAAGTATTTTCCTTCTAAAGAGGAGAGGAGTGGAAAGAACTAGAATATGTAGTGAATGAGTGCTTTAAATACTGAATGGCCACTGGCCTCATGGATATGAACAGGTGAACCACAAATGCAGGCCTTGGCAAACAAGCCCTTTCTTCCTTTTTTCTGCTTGAGGGGCTTTTTTCTTCCTGAAGACCTGCTTTCTTGACAGCTCCAAGATGGAATCTCATCCTAGCCTTTTTTTTTTTTTTTTTTTGAGTGGGGAGGCAAAAGAAAAGCATCGCTTCCACTCGGTTTTAGTAGAGGAGTGGAGGGAAGGGAAGTGTATTTGTCAGATTTTGATAGAGTCTTCAGATATTTAGACCCAGAAGGGCCAAGCCAGGCACTGTGGGAGGTCTAAACAGAAAGGAGAGAGGGTATTTGCATGGCTCTCATACAATTGTTTTTTTTTTTTTAAATTTGTACCAGAAAAATGGGACTGATGAGCCACAGGGGGTCCCAAGAGGCAGGAAGGATGTGGAGGGTTGCAGACCCAGGGACACCCTGCTCCTCCAGGCCTCACAGGCCGCACTGGCCCTGCGTGGGCCGGGCAGAGAACGTTCAGGCCCCCACCATGGGGCGGGAAGCCGTGCGCTGCGGATGCTGATTGGCTGGGGGGGCCGTCGCCTGGTGCTATTTGTTGTCGCTCACGCGCACTTGACGCAGACGGCGTCCAGGCGTCCGCACGTGCAGCCGTTTAAGCCGCGTCGGCGGCCGCGAGGAGCCCAGGAAGCCTGGAGCGGAGAGGTGAGTGGGCTGGTGGCCTTCCTCCCGTGTCGGCCTTCGGCCATGGACGCCCTAGGCAGGCCCGGTGGCCTCTGGGGGTCCGGCCTAGAGCCAGAGGCTGGGCACACGGGCCCTCGTGGGGTGTGAGGTCGGCCTCTGGGGCTTTCCCCTTCCGACCTGCGTCTTCATGCTGAGTGGAGCAGTGTGAAGACTTGGGGCCTGCAGGGGAGGGAAGCCCAAGGAACCTTCTGCTCCGTGCCAAGGCGGCCATTTTTCAGAAGAAACGGTGTTTGAACGCTCCCAGGGAAGCTCGACGTCCCAGGTTGAAGAGGTTTGGGCCGCCACCTTCCGACGTTCTCCCCTTCGTCTCCAAGGCCTCAACATCCTGTGTGTGTTTGAGGGGACCTGAAGGGAAATACCTTCAGTATCCCAGATACTAACTATGCAGCAAGCCATTTGGGAATCGTTGAGGGAGAACAAAGATTTTGGACAAACCTAGGCATTGCTGGGAACATGGGGATTGCTTGAGTGATTCACCTAGCCTTCGAAGGATAAAAATGCTGGCTATAAGTATCACCTGTAGGCTTTTGGGGGAAGGTGATCACAGTAGTTGCAAGTGGTGTGAAGGTGTGAAGGGACAAAAAAAAAAATAGTTTGTGGTGGTTAACCCCAGTACCTTGTGCTTCATTTACTATGCCTTTGACGTACACCACAGCCCCATAAATGAAAGATAAGTATTCTGATGTGGCCGTGACCATAAGTGCATTTTATTTATTTTTTTAAGGACCCTGTAGCTACCATGGGAGATGAAGATTGGGAGGCAGAAATCCTCAAACCTCATGTGTCTTCCTATGTTCCTGTATTTGAGAAGGTAATAAAACTGTGGAGCGTCATCAAATGTGGATTTTTATCAGTTAAAAGTCAAACTGGTGAGGAAGTTCTAAATTATTATAGCCTATTTAGTATTTCTCTACATGTGATCTTTATTAACTATTTTATGGGGAATGAGGAAGGCAGGCTAAGCTTCAAATTGATTAACACCTATATGGTAACTTGATAATAACAAGCAAAAGCTGTAATACTACCAGTGTAATTAAAATCTCACTGCTTTAGGACTTAAAGGTGAACACAAGCTTGTACAAGTGTTCTTGAAAGTCTTGACATAACTTGCATAGAAAAGTAATGATTGAAAAGTAATGAGCTCAATGATAACATATTAGACTATAAAATATTAGATTGCTTTTTCTGAATGGCATTGGGGAGTTGAAATTGTAACTCAAAAGGAGCTTTGAGGTTTTAGTTTTATATTTATTAACATATATAACAACTTATTATCACTATTATTGGAGTGTACCTTATAAGATACTGTTTTTGGCCGAGCTCTGGTGGTGTACACCTTAAATTCCAGCACTTTGGAGGCAGAGGCAAGTGAATCTCTGAGTTTGAGTCCAGCTTGGCCTACAGAGAGAGTTCTAGGAGTGCCAGGGCAGAGAAACCTGTCTTGAAAAACAAAAACCCAGAACAAAAGAAAAAGACTTTTTGCAGGAGTTCCCTCACATTCAGAAATTCCATTTTGTGTGTATGTCAGTTCTGATTTTAAGTGATGTTTTGTGGAAATGTTTATTTTATACAAAAACAAAATATTAGTGTTTTGATTTAGTTGTGTTGATTGATATGTGGGATTTAAATTCAAATACCCCAAATAATAATCTGAATGTGTAATATTTCTTTGATTGAAACTTATCTTTAGCACTAGCACATTTAGTGTTTCATATATTTACATATATATGTTTTTTGAGACAGGATTTCTCTGTGTAGCCTTGGCTATCCTAGAACCAGCTCTGTAGACCAGGCTGGCCTTGAACTCAGAGATCTGCCTGCTTCTGCCTTCCAAGTGCCATAATTAAAGGTGTGCCACTGCTGACTGGCTTAGTGTGTTACATTATTTTAAATAAACAATAAATATATTTTTATGTGCATTGGTATTTTGCCTGTATGTATGTTTGTGTGAGGGTTTTGGGTCCCCTAGAACTGAAGTTACAGATAGTTGTGAACTGTCATGTGGGTGCTGGGAATTGAACCTGGGTCCTCTGGAAGAACAGTCAGTGCTCTTAACTACTGAGCCACTCTCCAGCCTTATGTGTGTTTTATTTTAATAGTTTTCTTTGCATTATAAAAATATTACATTTTTGTAGAGAGAGGCAAATTACCTAAAAGTCTTGCTGCTTTTTGTTAAATATTTAGTATTTTTTTTAAATTACACAGGTTTAATGGTGTGCATAACAATAATTTTGATTTTTTTTACTTCAACACTAATTATTATGAACTTTTAAAAATATTTACAGTAATACAAGATTTTTTCAAAAAATGTACTGTAATACAGGATTTTTTGGGGTATTTAAGATAGTGGTAGCTTTTCGTTATCTTATTATTAGTATCTACAGCTTGTTTGTTTAATTTGGGATTTTTTTCCCCCAAAACGGTCAGAGGACATTTAATGGCTTGTTGTTCTTCTGGTTCTTAATAGATTCATATAATAAAATTTAATTTACCAATACAGGCTCTGCTGTACATGGACTTTGTAAGTCATCCGTCTGATTTTTCCTCAAGATTTTTATTGTCATGAAATGTTCTTTAAACAACATGCTGCACTGTGGAGTGGGTTGTGTATATTTATTGCATTGTGTTTCTGAAGTTGAGAGGTTGTTAGATTTCTATCCCTCCTTCTTTCCTCCCTCCTCCCCTCCTCTCTTCTCCTTTAACCTCTAAATGTGTGGATTATAGGCATGGGCCATCAATTCTGGCAAGTTGTTAGATCTTCCAGATGTACTTTTTTGGAATCTCTGTACTTTAATGTAACCATGTATCTTGACATCGAGAATACTAAATTGGTAATTCTACCTTACGATTTAATATCATTGCATGGAGCCAGTTTGTAGTAAGTTTCTTATACTTGTCTTCAAACTTGACGCTTGGTTGATCCGAAGGAACATGATATTATCCATGGCTTTGTTGACCTTCCTTGTTTGAGTAAGAAGTGCAGGTGCCAAGGGTAAATAATGTTCTTATGGAGGAAAATCTAAGGTCTTTTAATTAGAATGTTTAAAGACATTATTTTGGGTGTTCCCAGTGAGTTTTCATTTCCATTTTGAATTTAATAGTGGTTTTGAAATAGTCTTGTGCTAATACCATCTTAAACAGTGCCTGTGATCAGATTTTTAATGAGCATTCTTTGAGGTATACTAATATATGCTTACATACTTTGAAATATTAGGGCAGTGTTCTGATAGCTCTTAGAACTTCTCAAATCTAGATTTGGAAATAAATGTGCCATCTAAGGATAGAATAAAAGATGTGAGATTATGAAAAAATGTTTAGCAGTATAGTCCAGAAATCACAGTTGTTACATATTTATACATCATTAACTTACTAAGATGAGTGTATTAGATATTCAGTTTGATTCACTGGGAGTAATTCTAAATAGTGATCATTTCTGTGTAAGACCGTCTTTTGGGTATATTTTAGAATGAAATAGCCTCCTGAAATTAAAGTGGAAATAAATTTAGTTACTCTCTCCATAATTGTAATGTTATTAAGTAGTAGTAGAAGTTAGTAATAGTTGATGATATAAGAAAATTTGTAGAAGACATCTCAGAATTAACAGAATATAAACAAGAATGTATCCATCCAAAATTATTTGTAGCTACACTGAGAGAATATGGATTAAATATTTTGAAATTTCTATATTGGTCTATTTGGGTGGCTTAAGAGACAACCAGTGTTTTCTAGCTAGGTGTTCTAAAAGCAAATGAATTACATGATCTGTGATTTATTCAACATATTTTTACTTAATCCTTTGTGCTATAAATAATGTTGAACATAAGATACTTTCTGTTAAAGACATTGTATTTTAGGAGACAGAATAAGCACATTTGAGAAACAACTAACTACAAGGTAGAGAGAGCCTTAAAAAGAGAGGTGTGAGTCTGTTAGTTATGTTAGGGTGGGCTTAGATCAAGTGGAGAGAGGGATGGCTTTCCTGGAGGCCCTGACTTGTGAACTGAAGATTTGAAGGAGTCTCAGCAGGACATCAGGTGAAAAGGTTCCAGAAGGGAACACACATCATATTAGGATATTTGGAAGGCACATGTATTAGTTTCAGATAGCTACTGTAACAAATCTCCATAAAATGGGTAGTATGAAATAACAGAAGTTTGTTCTTTCATTGTCCTTGAAGCCAGAAGTTAGGGATCCAGGTATCTATAGGTCTGTCCTCTCTTTGGGGGTTCTAAGAGAGAATCTTTGTAGCTTCTAGCATCTGTTACATGTAGACAATCCTTGGCTTGTGTCACCCATCCAACTCCTGCCCCCCCCACCCCCCCGGGTGTGTGTGTGTGTGTGTGTGTGTGCGCGCAAGCACATGTACTTGTGTGTTTTCCCATTACATTTGGGATAGCAAATTAGGACTCAGATTAATATTCTGTATCAAATCTTAATTATATCTGTTATGACCCTCTTTCAAATAAAGTATTAATTCCAAGTATCATTGGCACACATGGGATGGGCACACCCTAGCTGAGAAGCTGTTGGCTGTTGGTGGCTGCTAGAGGAGGGAGAATCAATTTTTTCAGGCATGCAGCCCCTGAGAGACTACTTGTGCACATACTAGTGATTCTAAGTAAGTGGACTTGGGGCTTTGTGAAAATCACATGAAGTTGGGAGGGGAAAGTGGTGGTGTGGTGACAAGAGGAACTGAAGGAGGGGGATGGGGATTGGATTTGATCATACATTATAGACATGTATGAAAATTTCAAACCACAAAAAACTATCAGATTCTAGGATTAGGACTTGATGTCTGTGGGTGTCCATTATGCAACTTAGATAGCTATATGACTAAAGCATAGTGAGTTAAAGCATAGTGAGTTAAGAGAGTGGTACAAACTGAAGTCAGAGGAGAGGGAAAGGAAGAGAGGAACTGAAAGTAATTAGGCACTTACACTTGGTAGAACTGAATGGGATGGATTTGGGTAATGAAGGAAAGGGCTTAAGAATGATGAGTAGGGCCGAGCGTTGGTGGTGCATGCCTTTAATCCCAGCACTTGGGAGGCAGAGACAGGCGGATCTCAGTGAGTTAGAGGCCAGCCTGGTCTCCAGAGCAAGTGCCAGGATAGGCTCCAAAGCTACACAGAGAAACCCTGTCAAAAAAAAAAAAAAAAAAAAAAAAAAAAAAAAAAAAAAAAAAGATGAGTAGGTTTTCTAACTTAATCTCAATTGATGATTTGCTGTTTCTTGAAATGGAGCCTCTATGGGTGGTGAACAAGTTTGGGAAAGGGAGGGAGGGAGGGAGGGAGGAAGGAAAAGGAATTAGGCCCATACATTAAAAACTGAATAATTATCTGTGTATTAGGGTTCAGGTAAAATCAGGTAGAGTAAGAGTGTGATGGAGACCAGATGTAGAGTTGCACACTGTTAGGTCCCAACCCCCAAACCCTCAAAATGGCAGTGCCACTGACAAGTGTCCAAAATGACAGTCTGGGCTCAGTTCAGGCTGGACTCTTGACAGGGTAAACAGAAGGATTAGTAGTACAGATAGACAGAGGCTTAATATTCAGCATTCTTCAGAAACCTTGTGAGTCACTGCCTAACAAAAGAGCCACTTCCCTTATCTCTGACAAATGGGACATCTAGCTCCCTGTTAGCACATGCCTGCCGCACAGATCTAAGCCCCATGCTAACCTTCTGGCTCTTTAGGTACCTATTAACAATAACCTGTAACACATACAAAGCCACTCTGGGAGCCCGAAACCTCCCCTCCCCACTACCTTAAACTCTCAGCTTCTGTCCTTGTAACTGGCAAGACCCCCCCCCCCACCTTTTGCTCCTCTCTCTGTTCCCAAGATATGGGAACCATGGGAGCTTTGGACTCCCCCAAATGCCTCTGGCTGTTTTCTCTCTACTACCTGAGAGAGAGAACCACTCAGCAGTGGTTATGTTTGCAACAAACCTTCTTCCCAGCCATGGAGCCATCCAGTTTGGTGGTTTCACTGTGTCCTTGCTTGTCCACCCCTGGGAAGCTGAGTCAGGTCACCAGGTTATAATCAATTCATGTTGTAGTATATAGATCTGTCTCAAACAAACAAAAACATGCAGAGGTAAAAGCCCTGTAAAATACTGCTGTATGTTTGGTAGAGATACACAGTAGTAATTTTATTGCATAGTTGGTTCCTTTATTAAAATGCATTTTTGGGTTAGAGGTGAATGTGGAAGTTGGGTTTTGAGTAGCTTGAAAGAAACAAGGGATGTTGGAGGCAGTAGCTGCATAAAAATGTTCTAAGTGAGGCAGGGAAGTGGGGCATTAGCTGGAGAAGATGAAGAAGGTAATTGAAGCTAATTAGTTAAAAAGAGTTTTCCTTTTAAACAACTGACAAATCAAGCTTAAAACATGTATGAATTAGTAGTACAAAGGCCATATGCCATTTTTACCTACTGTAAACATGTACCTATTTCACAACTTGCCTTGGAATTTTTTAAGTTAAATACATGTGAATATTAAATTCCTTAGCTTGAGGCATCATGTTGTAATAAAATATTCAGGTTTTTAGTGCAGGAATGTATCATTACCATTTATTGGTTTAGACACATTAAACGAGTAAGTTTTTTGCTCTGTTTGACTGATAGCGTCCTGTCCATTTATAAGGCTAGTTGGATCAGTACAAGACTGATCCAGACCCCTGAACATGGATGTCAATAAGGAGGCCTCTGCACTCAAGGGAGCCCCTGGTAGTGGGTTAGTATTTTTCTCTGGTGCAAGAAGGGACTTTGAGAGCCCATCCCACTTTAAGGGTTACACTCTGGCCCTGGACACATGGGGAAGGACCCAGGACCAGCACAGGAAGATTTGGTGGACTCTGCAGAGCCCCCGTTGAGGGCACTACCCTGCCTGGGGAGTGATGGGTGGATGGGGTGGGGGATAGGTTGGGGGTGGGGCAGGAGGGATAGGGGTGAGGGGAGGGAGAGGGAGAAGGGACTTACATGTGAAACAAGCTTGTTCCCTAACTTGAACTAATAAATAAAAAAAAAATATTAAGTGGGAAATTTCAGAAGTAAATAATTGATGTTTTAAATTGCAGGTCATTCTGAGTAGCATGTTAAAACTTCCCACCATCCCCTTTAGTCTTGCCCATGCTGTATACACTATCTGTCTGACGTTATGGGTTTATGGCCCATGGTCACTTGGACCAGTTCATTCTTCTGACACATTGTCAGGAGGTCCCTAGTAGCTTACTCTTACATTATGTTTCTGTCATCCACCTCGCTGTATCTCATTATATAGGCACAAGAGTAGTGAATAAAGAACAATAACATTTTTTACAGTCTGTTTTCTTACTGTGCCAAATTCATAAATTCCATCATAGGCATATGTTTAAGAAAAATTATCTCATGTATTTTGTGTGTATGAGAGAGTGGAAAGAGAATTTGAGGTGATGGGAGAGAAAGACAGTATGAATGAATTGAGATACTACTCATGGTTTCAGGTACTGAGGGTCTTAGAATGTATTTCTCATGAAAAAGAAGGGACTCTGTAATTTTCTACTTTTGAAATAGATGACACATTCTTATTATTCAGAGTTGAAAACTTGGTTTTCTTTACTACAGGATAAATACTCTTCTGGAGCGAATGGAGACACTTTTAACAGGACTTCAGCTTCATCAGGTACGTGTTAAGGCAAGATGGCTTTTCTTTTTGGGTTAAGGGTTTTGTATAGAACTTAAGGAGTTGACATAGTCTTTTAAAAAAATTTTCTAGTGAGGATTCATCCTAGTTTGGATATTTTGGATAGGGAAACTTATATCTAAAGAAGACACAGTGTTAGAGACCATATTATTTAATTTAGTGAGTTGCTGTAAAACTTTTCCCAACCTAAGGGTTGTATGTTTGGCTTCAGATTTCTAAAGCATTGTCAGCTCTGATAAAAGGGAGTAGGATAGATGGAAAAATTACTAAAGTAGGTTCTAATTATGATTGACCAAAAAAATAACTTTAAGCCAGACATTGTCATACCATCAAGAGCACAAGTTTCTTTGGCATCAGAAAACTAATCTACCGAACTTCCCAAGAGAATAAGAGAAAAGTTTCACTGCTATCCAGTGATTTTTTTTTATTATGGTAAAATGTACATAACAGTGACCATCTTCACCATTAATATTTTTATAGTGTGTGCATAGTGTGTGCATAGTGTGTGCATAGTGTGTGCATAGAGTGTGTGTGTGTGTGTGTGTGTGTGTGTGTGTGTATATGTGTGTGTGCGCGCGCACACGCTATGGCATATGTATGGAGGTCAAAAGACAACTTTGTGGCATTGGTTCTCCCTCCACTCTTAGGTTTTTGAACCTTTAGGGAATCCAGCTCAGAGGGTCAGGCCTGTACAACAAGTTGCTGAATTATCTTTCCAGCCCTGATCTGTGCCATTAAAAGTTAGAAAAGATTTACTTATTATTTATGTTGTATGGGTGTTTTGCCAGCACATGTGTAAGTGCACATGAAGAGGCCAGAAGAAGGTGATAGATCCTCAAACTGGAGTTAGAGATGGTTGTGAGCTGCTTTGTGTGTGCTGGGAACCAAACATGGCTTCTCTGCAAGAGCAGTAAGTGCTCATAACTGCTGACCCCATTGTTCCAGCCCCCAAACTCAGTGTTTTGTTTTGCTTTTTTTTGTTTTCCATCTTCACCATTTTTAGTGTGCAGTAGGCTGGCATTAAGCACACTCTACATCATCTACCATCTATCTTGAAAATTTTTCATCTTTGCAAACAAATTCTGCTCCCATTAAAATAATAGCTACTCTGCCTGTCTCCAGCCCCTGGAAACCAGACTACTGTATTTCTAGTAAGTCCAAGTTGCTGTCTATGCATTTGAGTTACTGCTCATTTTAAGGCACACAAATGGCAAGGCCTAGGGACATAATTCAGTTTATAATTTCTCCTGTTAAAAATTAGAGGATGAGGTTAAAGCCTTTTATAGTCAAGGGAAATATTGGCTCAATTGAGCTTGGCTTCAAGTGAAGGTTTTTGTCAGAACTACAAACTACCTTGACAGAATTGTCAAGATAGTTTGTAGAAAGTGAGGGGAGTTTGAGGCGAAGTTCATCAGGATAAAGAAAATTTAATTCTTATGGTTGTTTTAAGTTCAAGGTAAATCTGTTAAGTTTATAAACCTTTGAAAGGAGCACTTTCACAAACATTTAAGTGTGTTAGTGTAATATATAATCCGATTTTCAAAAGCATATGGGACTACTGGCTGCCTGCAAGTAACAAAGGCTCATTTTCCTTCCTCCTCCATATGAATGCTGAGATCTTCTACAAATAAAAAAGACAGATGTGTAAAAGTATACTTCTTAATATGTAACTGGTAGAAACGTGGTTATTTGTGGTATCAACATAGGGCAGTTTCAGTAAAGGAATGAAATAGGCAGGCCTATATCTGTGAGAACATAATGCTCTATTGTCATGGAATTTTTTAAAAGTTAGATTGAAATCACTACCAACTAAAAGCCATAGCTCATTGATCTGTGACTGCTTAGGCTAAAGGAAAGAAATCACATGAAAAATAATTGCTTGTACTTTTCAATTAAAATAATTTTCAAAAAAGTAATTTAAAATATTACATTTATTGTGTTGGGGGGACATGCTGCAAAGTTCTCTCCTTTGACCATGTGGGTTCTGGGACTTGAACGCAGGTTTTCAGGCTAGCTGTAAGTACCTTTATTGATCATTGTGTTGCTCCTATTTTATAATCGAAAACACAGCTTTGTGGACCTAAAAAGTTCATTTTTTTTATTTTTTGAGACAGGGTTTCTCTGTGTAGCTTTGTAGACCAGGCTGGCCTCAAACTCAAAGAGATACACCTCCCTCTGCCTTGAGTGCTGGGATTAAAGGCATGTGCCACCACCACCTGGCTGAAAGTTTATTTCTTTATTGCAGCATATTTTATATATGTCAAGTGAATGTAAACTAAACTAATACCTAAATAATTCTTTTTTATAAATACTTTTTATTATCTACTGCTCATACCTATAATGATTTATAATGTAAAGCAGGCAGTTGAACAAAATAAATATAAAATGTATATTTTGAGGAGAAAAGTAGCAAGAACAAGTAGAAAGGAGCTAAGTCCTGGGTTCAGGAGATAAATGAAGTGGAATACTCTGTATGATAACCCCAGGGCAAGTTTCCAACTTTTAAAAACATATTAAAGAAAAGCTTAGAGATTGGCATGGTGGTGCATGATTTCAATGACAGCAGTTTAGAAGCATAGGCAGGTGGAACTCTGAGTTTGATATCAGTCAGATGTACAGTGTAAATTCCAGTATAGCCAAGCTTAGGCATTGAAGAAAACCTTGGAAAAGAGAAATCTGGTGAGGATGTAATTGAACAAGAAGGCTATGTTTTAGTGCTAGCAAGCAGAATATTTGGCAGCCTCATTCTGACTTTACAGTCATGGATAGAAGAATAGCATTATGGAACTTTCTTCCATGACTAAGGAAATCTTCTAGGCAGTCAGGTTTCAGATATGTTCTTTAATGTAGAACTTTGATTCATAGGAAGCATGCAGTGAGAAAGATATACTGAAGCTGCCATGGGCATGTGAAATTTCAAAGCCTGCATGTAGAACACACATCTACAAAAACTCCATAGCTAAATCTGGAAAGCCACACTTTTTTATCCAAAGAGTATCTCATTTGGAAACCAAGGGTTCCCTAAATAATTCTTATCAAAAATTTAAATAGTTAGAAAGGAAGAAATTATCCAAAATCTTGGCTGCCAAGTTTTGGACTTACTGATAGTGACTGTGATTCTCTTTAGATTTCTCTATATATTCTGATACATTTGTACCAAATTCTGTTTTTATTTTATGGATGCATATTTACCTATTTTTGTTGAGACATAGACTTTCTTTTCTTTGCTTATCTGTCCTTGCTTTCTATACTTTTTTTTCTGTTGAAATTATAGTTGATCTGGTTGCTTTTAATTTTCCTAGAAAAGGGATCATATACTATGTCTTGCTAGTATCCTGGCTAGTTTTTCTTATAGACTTGACACATCCTAGAGTTGCTTAGGAAGAGATCCTTAATTGGACAATTGCCTTGATCAGATTGGCCTGTGGGCATGTCTGTGGAGCATTTTCTTGATTGCTAATTGAAACAGAGCCCCCGACTCATGGTAACTGGTACTGTCTCTTGGTAGGTGAATGGGTCTGTATAGAAGCTAGTGGAGCACAGGATATTCTTCTGAAGAGCTACTTACACAACTCACTTTTCACTTAGGCTTTTTGTTATCATTTTTCTTATACTAGAGACTGAACCTAGGGTCTCATACACACTAAACAAGTATTCCACCACTGAACTACATCTCTAGCCCTATTTTTAATACTGTAATTTTGTTTTGATAAAGTATCTCATAAGTTGCTAATATTGGCCTAGAACTTATAACTAAAATAGTCTGTAAATCTGTTACCTTTCTGCCTCAGTCTCTCAGGTAGCTTGGCTCTGTCACCTTTCTTGTTAGCAAATAAAATTCCTCTGTTCTGTGTGTGGCACATTGAAAAAGCTTTACATTTGTATGTTTAGATATGTATTTTTATTTGTCTTGATTTGAAATCTTACTTGCTTTAGAAATGGAAGACGGACCTTCTGGAAGAGATCATTTCATGAGAAGTGGATTTCCCTCTGGAAGAAATTTGGGAAACAGAGGTAAATATGGTTTTCCTATAATCTTAACTGTTGACCAATGACATAGGGGCTTTGACTGGCTGTTTAATCCAAAGTTAAGTCTTATATAACTCAGTGGATGGTAGGTTTTGTTGGTATAATGAATTTTTATTTAATGTCAGTGGTATGTGGGGGTGGGGCAGAGAAACAGAGACAGGCAAGCCCAGCAAGCTTTAAACAATATATAATATAATCCATGGTGGCCTTAAACCCACACCAGCCATAAACTCTTCATGTGTAATATTGTAATGACAGGCATTAAACTTGTAATCCTCCTTCCACAGCCTAAGTGCTTGTAGTAGAGGCCTGTGCTGTCACACCAGGTAAAGCCTGTATACTTTAATGCTGTTTTACTTCCTTTAGGATAAGAAGACAGTTGACTACACAGATTGTCCACAGCTGCTGCTTAGTTTCAGATTTCTGTTTGTAGGAACTGCTGTGAGAAGAATGTTGTAAAATCTTTGGAGGGTAGAGCAAAAGGCTCTCCTTTTCTTAACAAAAAGCTGCATAGGAGATATGTCTGGTGGCTTATCAGTATTAAGTTTAAGAAGTTATTTTACCAAAGTTGAATTTATTTATTTTTGAGACATGGTCTCTTGTAGCTCAGATTGACTTTGTGTTTGCTGTGTAGCTGAGACTGACCTTAAATTCCTGTCTCCACCTCTAAAATGATGCAATTGCAGGCATGTGTCACTATATATGGCCAGGTTGGATTTTAAAATTGTAATTTTAGAGCTGTCAGTACTTGCCATGTGTTGATGGATCCTGGATTTCCAGCACTTGGCAGGCTGAGGCAGAAGCATTTTGAGTTTAAGGCTACCCTGGACTGCAAAACCCTGTCTTAAAATGAACAAATGAACAAACAACCAGAAAACTAGAAACACTATAGATAGTAACAGAGCAACATATCTTCATTTTTCCATGATTAATAGAATTGATATTAAAGTGCTGAAAACATTTTGTATAATGTTTTATTATAATTCACTAACTTGTTATTAAAATTCCACATTAACTTTAATGTGTATGAGCCTTTTATCTTTCAAGGTATAACATAGCTACTAGGGACTGTTTGGTAATTTTAAAACGCCTAATACTTATCCTTAAATTTGTCCTTTGTAAAGCTTTATTGACTTTTTCATTTGCTATCATAATTAATGAATTTCATTTGACATCTGGAAAACCTTATTTTTTATTTATATACAAACACATATTTGAATTTTATATTTGAGTATATTCTTTGTACTAATTGCTAACATAATCTATTTTTCAAATATTAATGTACTTTTTTTTCATTTTGTTTTTAAATGTCTACATATTGTTACATTGTTGATTTGGATCATGTAATTGATTTCTTTTCATTTGAAAGACATAATTTTACTTTATACCTTACCTACCATGGACTTGCTGTGTAAACCAGACTGGCTTTGAACTTGAGTGATCCTCTTGGCTCTATCTCAAAGTACTAGGCTTATATTCATGTTCTACCACACCCAGCTAGACCATGTAATTGGGTGAGCTAAAAGACTCAAATGTTGGTTTTTCTAGTCCTACAAACAGTAGAAATAGTTAATACCTCAGTATTATATTTAGGAGAGAATTGACAATGTAGCTATATTTTCAAATTTTAAAGAGGATATACATTTTGATGCAGATTTCTAAATAGTTGAGTAGAACACTGACTTTCAGAGATCTTTTTCTTTCTTTTAGTACTAGGATTAAAGGCATGGTGCTGTGCCTAACCTCAGTAGTACTTTTTCAATGAGAAAGTGACCAATGTAAAAGATTTTGTCACAAGTTATTTTCATATGTCTTAGGTTGAAATACACAATTTTTTTTTTTTAAAGTTAGAACTCTATGAGCTAGGTGTGGTGATGGACATCTATAGTTCCAGCATTAAGGAAGCTTAGCAGCATGTGGGTTCAAAACCAGTCCAGAGCTATGAAGTAAGGCCTGTCTCAAACCCCCAAATTCTTTTTGGTTGAATGCCAATAATTTAAAAAATTATCTTTGTATTCTGTGAACTCAGAAGTTCACAGACTCAAAGTGAGTATAATATCTTTTCCTTACTACTGACCTAGCATTTTATAATGTTTAATCTTGGCAGTTTTATTTGAACTTGTATAGTTCAATGTGTGTTGATGTGCTTTTGATTTGATTTTTAGAATTAAAAGGTAATTGGTCTTCTGAAGGATGAAAATTTCAATAAGAAAAATAGGAAAGCAGGGAATGCCATGTCAAAAGGAATAACATGTAGAAAGGAACACATACTAGATGGTCAGTGTGGAAATGTTTGTTTTTTGTGGTGTGCTGGCAAGATGACTCATTTGCTTTGAGTCTGGTACCCTGAGTTCAATCCCCCAGTTCCAGGGTGGAAGGAGAAGATAAACTGAAGATAAACTGAAAGTTTATCTTCTGACCTTTCACATGTGTGCCATGACATGCATAAGTCTGCACTCACACACACTACACATACACACACACAAACAACAAAAAAGCCAGGTGTGGAGTCCACACCCTTAATCCCAGCACAGAGAAGCAGAATCAGGTGGATCTCCCAAGTTCGAGGCTAGTCTGGTTTACCTGCTGAGTTCAAGGCCAGCTAGAGCTACATTGTCAGACTTTGTCTCAGAAAGAGAACAAAAGTAGGGTTCAGGCAGGGTGGCTCGGCCCAAGGTGCTCTCTGCTAAGACTGACAGCCTAAGCTGGATTCTCAGAACCCACATGGTGGAAGGAGAGAGTCCATCCTCTGTTCTTCAGATGCGTGCTCACAAAGAAAAGAAAAGTGTAAAAATGTCTCTCAAGTAGGAACTTTGGAAGTAATGAAGGTATTAGAAAAATAAATAATAGAACAATTAAAACAGAAAATAGTACAAAGTTTTCAATAGTGAAGATTACTGTGTGGGCTGAATATGTCTCGGTCTATTGAAGTGAGGAAGATTAAGTATAAAAACTCATGAAGTGAATTCCTCATTAAAGGTAAAAGAATGAGTAGACCTTACATTTTACAACTAGTGGATTTATGATTTATACTTTGGAACATAACATGAGAATAAAAAATACTTGCAAACATATTATTTTTGAATCTCCTATTTTTTAGTATCTGTAAAAGTCTTTCAGTAACCCTAAAGATTCATTTCATCCCTGTTTTTAATGATCCAATTTTGCATGTTAAGAAGTTTAACTATAAACTTTTTCAGATATTGGAGAGTCTAGTAAAAGAGAGAACACACCTACAGCTGGAGGCTTTGGAAGAGGAAAGGGTTTTGGAAGCAGAGGTAATTACTTGTAATATTTTTACAACCAAAATTTTAGTTGACTCTAAGGTTTGCATTTTTATTTTTTAGAAAATAAAACGGAGAAAGTATGTACCATGCTAGAAATTATGAGGATCACAAAGTATTTTCATTTGGTATAATATATATGTAGTATAAAAGCAACAATTTATGCTGCTTTAGGTATATACAGTGTTCTATTTGTCTTTTTAAAAAGATTTATTATTACTGTTTGTATGTGTATGTGTGGATGCACATGTACCACAGTACACGTATGGAGGACAAATAACAACTTGGAGGCACTGGTTCTCTCCTTCTACCATGTGGACTCCAGGGATTGAACTGAGATCAACAGGATTTTGCAGCAAGCACTCTTATCCCTGTTTCACCATCTTGCTGGTCCCCCATTTTGCCTTTTCCTCTTGCTTTAGCATCATCAATTCACCCTATGCATGAGCCCCAATTCTTTCATCTTTTACTACTCAGGGCTCCCAGTTCCCCATGGTGTTTTGTTTTATACCTCAGTAAGGGAACACATGTGCTCATCAGTAGCTGAGCACAGGAAGACCAGTAATATTTAGGTGAGAGAGCTTCCCAGTCTTTTCAGAAACTCAACACTGACTCTTCTTGGGACAGGAATGAGAGAAACAAGCAGCAATTATGGGTGGTAGAATATAGTCATTTCTTAAGCAACTTTGGAGATTGCAAATATTTAAGTGGCAATAATAATTTAAAATTTAGGATTATATCTACATTTTGAAAAGAAATAACTGCTTAAGATTTTTTTGTCAATAATACAGTGAAGCTATTGGGTACATGCTTATGTATATGTCATGTGTATAAATTAAACAACTATCGAAATAATTGGTTAGTTCTTATATTAAAGAAGCCTAATTGTAACTGAGTACTTTAGTTAAGACAATTATTGATAGTTATCTATAGTGACATTTAATTTTAGGGTATGTATTCCCAAGTATCTTTTCTGTGTGAGAGAGTAGGACAGGCTGGGGTGTCTCACTATGCCATCTAGGTAGGTATCTAATTCATGAACTCAGCATTCAAGAAGCTAGGGCTGCAGACATACCTAGCTCCTTGAGTAATTTTACACTAAAGACCATTTTTATTAAGAGTCAATGGTATTTTGGAGACAGGTTTCTCACTGCACCCAGAGCTCAATGATTTGGCTATACCGCCTGGCCAGCAAGCCCCAGGGATCCTCTGTTCTTGCTTCCTCAGTGCAGGAATTATAGGCACACACTATTGTGTTTTTTCACTTCCTTTTCATTTTCAGTTTTCTTTTTTTAATTTTTCTTTTTAAAATTATATCATTTTTCTTTCCATTTTTATTTAAATTAGAAAAAAGAATTTTTATATGTCAATCCCAGTTTCCTCTGCCTCCTCTCCTCCCTTACCCACCCCCCAACTAACACCTTACCTATCCCATACCCTTTCTGCTCCCAAGGGAGGGTGAGGCCTTCCATTAGGGGGATCTTCAGAGTCTTTCATATCCTTGGGGATAGGGCCTAGGCCCACCCCCTTGTGTATAGGCCCAGGGAGTATCCCTCTATGTGGAATGGGCTCCCAAAGTCTATTCCTATACTAGGGATAAGTACTGATCTACTACAAAAGGCCCCATAGATTTCCGAGGTCTCCTCACTGATACCTATGTTCATGGGGTCTGGACCAGTCCCATGTTGGTTTCCCAGCTGTCAGCCTGGGGAGCAAGAGTTCCTCGATGTTCAGGTCAGCTGTTTCTGTGGGTTTCACCAGCCTGGTCTGGACCCCTTTGCTCATCACTCCTCCTTCTCTGCAACTGGATTCCAGTTCAGTTCAGTGATTAGCTGTGGGTGTCTTCTTCCACTTCCACCAGCTGCTGGGTGATGGCTCTAGGATTACATATAAGTCAGTCATCAATATCATTATCAGGGGAGGACATTTAAGGTAGCATCTCTTCTGTTGCTTAGTTAGTTGGTGTCATCATAGATCTACAGACATTTCTCTAGTGCCAGATTTCTCTTTAAAACTATTATGGCTCCTTGTATTATGGTATTTCTTATCTTACTCTCCTCTATTCTACTCCCAACTCAAACTTCCTGCTCCCTTATATCCTCCTCATCCCTCCTCTTCTCCCTTCTCATTCTCCTAGCTACCTCTCCTGTCCCCTCATGCTCCCAATTTGCTCAGGAGATCTTGTCCCTTTCTCCTCCTCCGGGGGACCATGTATGTCTCAGAGTCCTCCTTGTTTCCTAGCTTCTCTGGTGGTGTGGATTGTGGGCTGGTAATCCTTTGCTCTATGTCTAAAATCCATATATGAGTGAGTACATACCCTGTTTGTCTTTTTGTGACTGGGTTACCTTGCTCAGAATGGTTTCTCCTAGTTCCATCTATTTGCCTTCGAATTTCAAGTTTCCATTGTTTTGTTTTGTTTTTCCTCTGAGTAGTACTCCATTGTGTAAAAGTACCACATTTTTTCTATCCATTCTTCAGTTGAGGGTCATCTAGTTTCTGGCTATTACAAATAATGCTGCTATGAACATAGTTGAACAGATGTCCTTGTTGTATGAATGTGCTTCTTTGGGGTATATGCCTAAGAGTGGAATTGCTGGATCTTGTGGTAGACTGCTTCACATTTTTTTCCTGAGCAATTGCCATACTGATTTCCAAAGTCGCTGTACGAGTTGGCACTCCCACCAGCAGTGGAGGAGTGTTCCTCCTTTTCCACATCCTCTTCAGCACAACTGTCAATGGTGATTTGATTTTAGTAATTCTGACAGGAGTAACATGGTTGTTTTGATTTGCATTTCCCTGGTGGCTAAGGATGTTGAACACTTTCTTCTGTGTCTTTCAGCCATTTTAGATTCCTCTATTGTTGTCTATTTAGTTCTATAACCCACTTTTTAAAGTGGATTATTTGGTGTTTTAGAGACTAACTTCTTGAGTTCTTTGTAAATTTTGGAGATCAGCCCTCTGTTGGATGTAGGGTTGGTAAATATATTTTCCCATTCTGTGGGCTGCCATTTTGTCTTGCTGACTGTGTCCTTTGCCTTAAAGAAGCTTATCAGTTTCAGGAGGTTCCATTTATTAATTGCCGATCTTTGTGTCTTTGCTATTGGTGTAATGTTCAGGAAGTGGTCTCCTGTACCAATTTCTTCAAGGGTATTTCCCACTTTGTCTTCTAGTAGATTCAGTGTGGCTGGATTTATGTTGAGGTCTTTGATCCATTTGGACTTAAGTTTTGTGCATGGAGATAGGCAGGAATCTATTTGCAGTCTTCTACATGCTAGCATCCAATTATGCCAGCACCATTTGTTGAAGATACTTTCTTTATTCCATTGTATAACTTTAACTTCTTTGTCAAAAATCAGGTGTTCATAGTTGTGTGGGTTAATATCAGGGCTTTCAACTTGATTCCATTATTCTACCTGTCTATTTTTGTGCCAATACCAAGCTGTTTTCAGGACTATAGTTCTATAATAGACTTTGAAGTCGGGGATGGTGATGCCTCCAGAAGTTCCTTTATTGTACAGGGTTGCTTTGGCTATCCTGGGACTTTTGTTTTTCCATATAAAGTTGAGTATTATTCTTTCAGTGTCTGTGAAGAATTGTGCTGGGATTTTGATGGAGATTGCATTGAATCTATAGATTGCTTTTGGCAGGATTGCCATTTTTACTATGTTGATCCTACCTTTCCAAGACCATGGGTGATCCTTCCATTTTCTGGTATCTTCTTTAATTTCTTTCTTTAAAGACTTAAAATTTTTATGATACAGGTCTTTCACTTTTTTTGGTTAATGTTATCCCAAGGTATTTTATGTTGTTTATGGCAATTGTAAAGGGTGTTGTTTCTCTGATTCCTTTCTCAGTGCATTTATCATCTGTGTATAGTAAGGCTACAGACTTTTTTGAGTTAATCTTGTATCCTGCCACTTTGCTGAAAGTGTTTATCAGCTGTAGGAGTTCCCTGGTAGTTTTTCAGGTCACTTACGTAGACTATCATATCATCTGCAAATAGTGAAAGTTTGACTTCTTCCTTTCCAAATTGTATCTCCTTGATCTCCTTTTGTTGTCTTATTGCTCTAGCTAGAACTTCAAGGACAGTATTTAATAGGTATGGAGAGAGTGGACGGCCTTGTCTTGTTCCTGATTTTAGGGGAATCTCGTTGAGTTTCTCTCTTAGTTTGATGTTGGCTGTTGGTTTATTGTATGTTGCCTTTTCCTGTTATCCCCGATCTCTCCAAGTCCTTTATCATGAATGGGTGTTGGATTTTGTCAAAGGCTTTTTCAGCATCTGGTGAGATGATCATGTGGTTTTTCTTTCTCAGTCTTTATATGGTGGATTACATTGATGGATTTTCGTATGTTGAACCATCCTTGCATCCCTGGGATGAAGCCTACTTGATCATGGTGGATGATTTCTCTGATGTGTTCTTGGATTTGATTCACCAATATTTTATTGAGTATTTTTGCATCAGTGTTCATGAGGGATATTGGTCTGTAGTTCTTTTTCTTAGTTGTGA